TTGTTGCGGGGCTGCAGCTGATGGGCGCCCCTGCCAAGCCCGAGTGCTCCAAACCCCGGGAGTCAGACGCCCTGAAAATACATAAATAAGAGACAATAATCCTGTGGCAGGGCCGGGGCCCACGAGCTGCAACACAGGAACCAGACAGCAGCGTGAGCAGGGAGGTTGGGTGGGTTTGGATGCTCTGGAGTCCCCAGGGTTCCTGCAGGGAGGGTCGTGTCCCCACAGCCCAGGCTGGAAACTCCCCGGGGTTGTTTATTGCCTGTTGGGTTTTAGGAAGAGCCAGAGTCCTGTGGGATCATGTGGCTCTGGGAGCTGAGACACTGGGTTAGCTGAGGAACTGGGCTGACCAAGTACTGGGCTAACCAAGGCATTGGGTTAACCAAGGCACTGGGCTGACCAAGGCACTGGGTTAAGCAAGGCACTGGGCTGACCAAGGCACTGGGTTAACCAAGGCACTGGGTTAAACAAGGCACTGGGCTAACCAAGGCATTGGGTTAACCAAGACATTGGGTTGACCGAGATATTAGGTTAATTGATGAACTGGGTTAACCAGGGTTAAGCAAGGCACTGGGTTAACCAAGGCATTGGGTTAACCAAGACATTGGGTTGACTGAGATATTAGGTTAATTGATGAACTGGGTTAACCAGGGCACTGGTTTGAGCAAGACATTGGGTTAACCAAGACATTGGATTAACCAAGGCACTGGTTTGAGCAAGACATTGGGTTAACCAGCACGTTGGGTTAAACGTGATGAGGTTAAACAAGAGATTGGGTGACACAAGACGTTGGGTTAGACGCGTTGGGTTAAACAAGGTGTTGGGTTAAATAAGGTGTTGGGTTAAATAGGGTGGTGGGTTAAACAAGGTGTTGGGTTAGACGAGGTGTTGGATTAACCTTTCCCTGCCCCAGCCCTTGGTGCCAGGGGTCCCTGGGACATCCCCTTTCCTCCTTCAGGCCCCCGGCTGGATTGAGCCGTGTCTGACAGGGGCTGGGGCCACATCCAGGTCCCCCCTCCAGAGCAGGGGGGATGAGGGGGGACACAGGGTGACCCGTGGGGCTGCAAAGGGGTTTGTTTTACTCCTCACCTTTCCCCACCCTCACCTTTCTCTCCCCTGCCTTTCTCTCGCCCTCCTCCATCCATCACCCAGATGAGCTTCTCCTCTCTCTGGCCGCCCCCCAGTCCCCTCCGGGGGGCCAGGACCCCCATGGCAGGCGAGTGGCCGTGGACTGCGTGCGGGCCAACGAGCTGTGCGCGGGGGAGCCCGGCTGCAGCTCCCGGTACCGGACCCTGCGCCAGTGCCTGGCTGGGCGCGACAGGAACACCCTGCTGGCCAACCCCGAGTGCCAGGCAGCCCTGGAGGTGCTGCAGGGGAGCCCCCTCTATGAGTGCCGCTGCAAGAGGGGGATGAAGAAGGAGCTTCAGTGCCTACAGATCTACTGGAGTATACACCTGGGGCTGGCTGAAGGTAAGGGGGATTGGGGGGGTTTGCAGGGGTTGGG